CAGATGTAAGTAATCAAATATTCGTCTCCGCATCATTCCTAGGGCAGGTTGTTCAGTCCGGACAGCCAATCCAGTCGCATTGACGCTGCCAACTTGGACCAACAACATTCGTCTACAGAGCACGGCACTGAATGATCGTCTGGGAGGTTGTTATTAATATTAGAAGTGGCGTGCTTTGACTGGCTGGTTTAAATAGACTTTTATTGTGCTGCGTCTGATGTGGACGCTGGAACAACCTCACGTTGCAGCTTATTTAACTGTTTTTTTCTTCCTTCTATCCGTGATCATGATGACGTTGCTTAATGATTAGCGTCCTATAAGGGCCTCGTATTTTGTAAGCATCACCAGCCGTGATGTCATGAATAAAAGCTGACATGGCTACTCATTGTTAGCTACAGATAAATTTTCGGTAAAATTTCTTTAAATTTTGTCGCAAGAAAATGGACACAAATTTCAAAGAAAATGTTATTAACATGAATTTTCAATCTGTACTTTTTGCCTTATTTCGGCTAAAAAAAGCAATAAAATTAGCCAATAATTAATCCACTGGGAGCAACCTATCAAATGTGTTTTGATTAAATCGATGTGGCGGTACTTATAAATATTTTTCTAATACTACATTTTGAGTAAAATGATATCACGCCAATTTTGTCAGTGGCTTCTTTCTTGAAGATGTTTACCAGATTTTACGATGAAGGAACGATTACTTTCCACAGTTAATGGCCATCCAAAACACATGACTGTTAAATTTACATAGTAACCGGTTTTGTTTTCCTCAAGTGTGGTATTTTAAACCCGCCAGGTACAACAGTTGTCATGGTTTTATTTTGTTTAAAGCAGTCAAGCTGCATTTGTCAGATTTGAATTTACACAAAGCGGGGGCAAGTTGAAGACTCCTTGCGCAAATATTTACTAAGTAGCTAGATTTTGAGTGATTCTTTCGATTAAAACAAAAAAAACTACCAATCAGCTACCGAATTTGGAATTCAAGGCTAAAATTATCGATTGGAGTAAGCCTGTTTTCGCCATGGCTCACGTTAGACAGGGTGGATACCGCGTGATTGTTTTATACGACGATGCCAAAATGTACTAAACTGGCTCACTGATAATCTGTATTTTGTCAGGCCCAATTAGTAAACACAATCGGTTAGCTCAAGAAGATCTAACCGATTCTGTTTCGATTTCATAAACAGGGGCTAATGGTGCTCTCTCAGACAGAGCCTCAATGATCAATTTCTTGACCTGTAATTTTACCTTAAAGTGCCTCATATTTTACCGCCTATTTTAAGAAAGGTGTTTCCTTAAAATAGGTGGTTGTTTTAACCAGTTGGGTTAATTACGCACTTATTTTAATAACAATTATTCCATCCAAGCACGCGATTCATGACGTCAAGTGCGATTTTGGCCTCAACATGCCGCGTAATTATCGTCCAATCACGTCATGTGACCTTGAGCAGTTGGAATTCACGTACAGGTTGTAAACGCATCCCTTTGGATAGATACTTATTTATGATTGGTTTATTTCTTACTCCCCTGAATTGGTCCAACTGGTCATTTCCGTAATCATTTATCGAAAAAGAAGGCATGTTTAACGCGAAGACATCTTATTTTTTTAAATTGAAATGTTACTAAGTGGAAAAAAGCAGTATTTTAAAAAAGAACAGTTTCTGGCACAGTGGATATAACACGGGGCGTTTCAACAAGGCCGTGAATGCGACATACTTCTGCGGCGGCATTTCGGACACTCTGTGTACTCAATGATACGAGCCTTCATTATCTTGCCTTTGTCCGCCCGCTTTTTGTACCACTCGTAAGTCGTGGAGTCCGATTCAGTGTTGTCCTGCGTAGGCCGCGGATTCCGCAGATTCGGCAGATCTGGCGAGCGAATCTGATTTTCCGGGTACAAAATTCGAATGCCCCTGTCTTGGGAGAGATCGGTTGACGAATCCGAGTCGTTTCTGGAGCTACTGAGGTCGCTGCTGGACACCGCCAGACGTTCCAGGCCTTGTTCGATCTCCTCCATCACCTCGTCGATTTTTCCAGTTGGCGATTTTACGCCCGACTTGTTGGGAACCGCCGACGTGTAGACAAACATGCTGCGATTTCTCGGCCTTACCCCGCCCCTGTTGGCGTAGATGATTTTCTTTGCCGACGAATTCCTTGTCTGACTGCGGCCTCTTCGAAGAGTCGGCATCGTGGACTTGCTAACCCTCTCCAACACGTCCGTTGTCACGTAGCTGACGCTGCACTTTTGCCTTGGGCGTTTAACAGAAGCCACTGAGTGCCTACGTGGAGTGATTACCCTCGAGTGCTCTGAATGGCGAGTCGGAGGTGTAACAGTGCTTTCCGACAGTGAGTAGTGAGACGATTTCAGCGAGTGCTCGGTTGGATGATGGCTCTGAGGTTGGAAAGTGGGTGTGTTGCTTCTGGGCGAAAATCGGAGCGGAGAAGAGCTTGATGAAGACGCACTTCGGTGCTTAGAGCTGGTCCTGGAGACTGGAGTCTTAGTCACTTGCTCGTCCTCCTCCTCCTCCACCTCCACGTCCTCTTTCTCTGTCTCCTCATCCTTCGTTGGCTTCTTCGACTGCAGCAGATTCAAGCATTCCTTGAAATCGTCCTCATCAGCAAACCTCATCGTAACCACCTCGCCTGGGGTCTTCTTCGTGATTTTTGTCGCAATTATCAAAACCCTCTTGGGTTTGTTCATTTTGAGGGAGACAACGTCGCCGCGGTTGATCTTGGTCTTTTTATTCTTAAAGGCAATGTAGTCGCCAGTAATCTTCACCTTCTCCTTGCTGACGCCGGCCTTGTCCGCACGCTTCAAGGCCTTTTTTATGGCGCCATTAACTTTCTCCTTCTTCTTGTACTTGTCTACCTGGAGGTAGGTCAGAGAGAAGATTGTTTTGGTGGCGGTCATGTCTACTGAATTGTGAGCTCACGCGGTGAACAAGGGCCTTATAACAGGGTGGCAGGCACCGACAGCGAATTGATCGCGTGACGCAGCACAGTGTGGTTCTCCTGTGCGCGCATCTCGAAATCTGGCAGGTGGCGTTGGTGGTTTGAAGTGGGTAGGCTTGGATTAGTTGGTGTGTGTGTGTGAGTGTGTAATTTTGCGGCTACGGAAAATTGACGATATTTGGCTAATTAAAGACACAAAACCGGCCCCGTGGGAGCACCGCGCTGGACATTAAGTAACAACAGCCATCGTTTCTTCTAACTTAAGAGCGACAAGTCATGTAAGAGACCTTTTTTCCTCCAAACTCGTAGCTAATTCGAATTGGTGAAAGCATCGGCAGCACCCAAGACTCTAATTGGATGGTAAGCTTTAACCAGCATCATCACGATCACAGATAGAAGGAAGAGAAGGACAGTTACAGAAGCTGCAACGTGGGATTGGTCTGGCTTCCACATCAGACGCAGCACAGTATCAGTCGATTTGAACTAGCCAATCAGAGCAGTTTGCTTCTAACATCATCAACAACAACTTTCTAGACAATTAATCGATGCAGTGGTCCGTAGATGCGACTGGATTGGCTGTCCGGACTGAACAACCTGCCCTAGGAATGATGCGGAGACGAATATTTGATTACTTACATCTGCCACTGAGAGTTGGTGATGAAACAAACAATTGTGATGAGTTGTTGATGCAAAGGGGGATTCGATTAAGCACAAACAGTGCCGGCGAGGGCCACTCCGCTCACCGCAGATTCGCTCAATGAACTTGCACGACCTGGAATCGAGGGGGTCTGGGTTTAGCTATGAAGACAATCCAGTTGTTCGATGGAAGTTAGATCGTAGTTCGCAGGGGGTGCATGGAACGACGGTCACAGGGAGTCAGTGCGTTCCGTTAGGTGATTGGTTGAAGTGTTGGGCAATGTCCACGCGATTCCGCATCGTCCAGCATAGCTCTACAGATTCAATGAACACACTGACGACCTGGCGAATCTTGCAGCATCGCTTTCTCGACGACGCAGTCAATCAGCACGCGAGTGACCTGGCGCAAGGCCAGTAGATCCGTTTTTCAAAACTCTGAGGGTTCTTGTGCTGGCCTGAGGTGTCACTATGTTAAATCCACGTTTTCACGTGTCTTGTTGAACGCAAGTGGCATTCCGAGCACTCCAACTACTTATTTTCCACGCTTACACCCAAGAAGATGATGCTGATGATAAAGTCAGTATTCCAGTTAACTGCTTGATTCGTAAAATTGAGATTTGCCTTTTTTTGATTTCGCCTATTCTCTCTTTTTCAAACGTCATCCCAAATCAATTATCGCATTGATCGTGCTATTCTGACCGCTCCTTCTCACTCCACTGGGTCAAGGTCATGTGAGCCCTTTTTTTACTGCCAACTCAATTTTATTGGTTACTAATCACAACACTTTCGAATAACTGTAAGCGTGTTTATACCAAGTCTACTTGACGACGAGGTTATTTTAAAACTACACAAGACGTTGGGAAAATATACTTGATCGTCTCTACCAATCATCTTCCCATCCGTAAACTGACCAATGGGCGAGCTGGCTTGTGTAATGTCGCTTTTCACAACAAACTAGCCGCAAATTTTAACACAAACAAAATTCATTTTGCCTCGATAAACTTAATAAGTGCAGCTAAGAAAACCGTGGCATGACTAATAATGTGGCGTGGTCACAAAGGTGTACCCACTGCCTATTGGTGGCGTGGGTGCTCTAAACGCGCACGCACACACACTCACACACGAAACTCGCCAAGATGTGGCGATTTGGCTCTGGTGCTTCTGTGTGTGATTGAGAGTCTCCACCCAAGTGTGACGCGGAGCCCTCATCTGCCGCCAACTTGATGTTCTTTTAGTTTCAACGACTCAGGCGAATGACGAATCCGCCATGTGTGGTTGATCGTGTGTGAAAATAAAACATTGCTACTGTATTGAAATAAGTAGCGTAATTTAAAACCGCCGGCACTAATCCAAGCCCTGAGCTTAATACTGCTACCATAGAGTGGAATTGCTACGGTTTAGATCAAGAAGTCAATTTGCCGGAGACAGCGACCGCAATTTTCAGACCATGGAAAGGGTATTCTTGTGGGGTCTTTGACCTAAGTGCATTTAAACAAAGGCACAAAGATTACAATCGTGTTCCGATATCAGTTTAGGCGAGATACTAAAATGTAACCAAGCTCTGCTAAGAGGTTGAATAAGACCCACGTTAACTCCAACTGGTTAATTTAAACTAACTGATCGGTCACGCAAATCATACGCCACTGGGAAATTTGATGCATTTAACACAAAAATACTAGAGATAGTTTACGGTAATTTCCCCACTAGTTACTGTTGAAACGACGAATTCAATACGCCAATTTTTTACCTAATTCAGCTAAGCCATTAGGTGATTTTTTGACTACAGCCATCGCAGCACTATTTTCACGAAGAAATCATGTTTTTAAATCCAATTCACATTCAAACGAATCACTGATTCGCACGGAGTGTGATAACCTTGAAGATCACCAATCACAAGGCCGGAAGTATGTGTCGGTCAACACGTCATGACGTCAGACGCACATTTCAACGCGCACTAGACCAGAACCGGCTAAACTGAACGCTGACTTACTGTGGCTCCGTTTTTTTTGTTTAACTGATTCATCCTGATAACGCTATGACTTGAAATCCGTGGGCGTAAAAATGATGTGTTTATACACTCTGCAAGGCTAGCCAATCGTTAGTCACACAGTTCGTGCAGAACCACGTCGCGCAAAAAAGTTAGACACCTCTGAGCTTCTAAAATCCATGTATGCGCAAACGTCGTGAAAGGAATGACCAATCAATGTAAATTTACGGGAGTTGGACAAATATTTAAAAACCCCTCTTTCGGGGAGTCTGCATCATCATCACCATCATTTCAAACTCGAGTCGGGACAAAACAGCTCGTTCGTGTGAAACCGGAGCAGTTTAATGAAGGTAGTAATTTTAGGGATGTGGTGAGTGTGCGTGGGGAGTCGAAAGCTAAAAATTCGCTTTGAGATTTTTTTACATCGAAGTAACCTGCCCCCACACACTTGAAGCACTGCTTTGCGATGAATAATGCGTGTGATTCAATAGTTCCCAACATTGTTTCAACGCAAGTCACACGAACCACACACTGGTTGTGTAATCGTCGAGATAAAAAAAAGTTGTAGCAGGAGACGATTCCGCAGACAATTGGTTGCTTTAAACCCGTGGAAGTCTACAAGACCACATTGAGGGCATCGGGATTAACCGAAGTGGAAAAAACACCATCTATTTGGCGGTTCATTAAGCTCGGGTGGCAGCCAATGAGCAGCGGGCAAGTGTAGCTTCATTTTGCCCCAAACAGCCAATCACCAGCGCAACTGACTCAGACCTGGGGGGTACGCCCACGCACGCACGCACACACACACACCGCACAAACTGATTCGCTGGTGGTAGCCCCCGCATCCATGTCAAAAAGACTACATTTGACCCTCCGTTGCGGCATTATTCCGACGCCGTCGGCGACTGTCGTGTTTACGGGGTGACGCGTAACATCCGCAGTCGTCATTCTCGCTCGATCGCACATTCGGACGCCTGTTCAGCATCTCGCCTCCACGAACACATGGAATTGTCGAAGTTTGTAAGAGCTTTACTTGTTGCTCTCATACCCTTTCCCGCCTCTCTTTGATTATCGGTTTTTTGAATTAGGTTCATTTTCTGTCGTCGACATTTTAAAATCAATTCCGTAAAAAATCTGATCAGTTGATGATTTGATTTAGCTTTCTTTGACTATGCCCTTCACACTTTCAGAAACTGTGTACAGACGGTTGCTCCACGGTGAGGAAATGTTCCACGCGTGTAAATTTACCTCATGCTAAGACCCACCAAAACACCTTATTTGTCTACAGTGGTGTGTAATCCGTGAAATTAACCCAACTCTTGTCTTCCTGCATACATGCATGTTGAAGAGGCATTGGACGATTCGTCCAATCCCAGAGTTGGGGCGGGTGGAGGTAGGGGTGGGTGTTTACGCATTCAAGGCCAAATCCAAGGTGACGTTGATTGTACGTGGAGAGACCCATCTGAGGACCTATGAGGCCTTGAAGGCAGGGTGATTCACTCAGCATTCTGGCAACCAATCACCGTTGAGGTGGGAGAAATCGAAGGAAAACAATTACGGGCAAGGAGACGGCTGGATACGTGGCTACGCGTGCTGGGGGCTGGTTGACACGATTCGATCCAAGTCATTCTCTAATCGGGATTCCTCACGTTTGGTTTTACTGTGACATCAGATGTGGAAGCTTTCGTCTCCGTGGCGTTGTCTTTGAAGTGCTGATCATGGAATTGTTGACGCAAACGCAGCGACTAAAATGCGCGGTAAATCGTTGTTGATCGATGGAAATCAATACAGACTACTCACGGTAACCTAATTCCTTTCGACTTGAATCAATTCTGATGCGTCTGAGTGCTTACTAAGACCTTTATCGACTCACAACAGCCCAGATGCTGAGCCGACGTCATTTAAAGCGTTATACAGAACTCTCGCACGTGCGCTGTTGAGGCATTTAAGTACTAGGTATCAAAAAGATTTCGTTTTTCTCCCGACTTTTTGTCAAAATTGGCGCTTGGCGTGGAACTAAAGATATTTCTCCGGTGCTAAGGGGACAACATCGCAGGATTTTGGAAAGGTTAGCATTTGCGCAAACACGACCACACCAAGGTGACGCACACGAACATGTCTGATGGCTGTGATCACAGGCAGACGACAGCTGTCGGCACTGGACGAGGCACAGCGTGTTGGCCTCGTGGTTTTCGATCATTGCTGGCTCCTTTTTGATCACTTTGTGCGTCGTTTCAGTGACCGACAGCCGTCTGCTTTGAGCGTCACTCCTTCTGAGCCAATCGCCTTCACGCATTCTTGCTTTGACCTTGAATTTTGTTTGAATTTACCTAGGTGGTTATGAAGGTTGTCAATTGCATCGGAGTCTACACTTTCTTGGACATCTACATAAACTACGTTAGAAATAGTTATTTGGATTGTTACTTAACCTTCAATTCTGGTAATTGGAAAAGCCGGGGTTTTGATCAAATAACATGAGTATGTAGCATGAAAAACGCAGCCAGGTCTGAATTTGGGTCCGGTGGCAAGAAAGGCTTTTTTTCTCGTATGAGGTGACAAAATTTACCGCCAAAATTTGTTCAAACGAGGAAGTTTTCTTGCAGCTGTTGACGTTGACGAATCACAGCTCACCAAATTGAAGGACGTTCTACAGCTTGAGATGGGTTCATTAAGTCCAACAACGGCGGGATTCTACAAGTAGAGCAGGAATGCGCGATTTCAGCAGTGGTCGTCGTGAATGAAGACGTCAAGAACATGGCGTTGTGTGTTCAGACCTGCCTCAACCACAATCTGGCGCCCCCTGCCAACATATTGGCTGAAACTAACTCAAGCATTAAGCAATCTGCACCGGAATGAGGCCTGTACGTCTTTCGATACACTGCCATTCCTTGCTTTGATTTAAACAAAATTCGCTACAACTGGATCTGTTGTAAGATATGGGTTCCATGTGGTGCTAAAGGCTCCGTTTGATCAGCGCGCGAGTTCAAGAAGCGTTGAATATTTGCAGGATCTAGAAAACGAGTTCTCGAGCACTGGATCGCGTTCACAGACACCACGGAATCGCAAGAATTGCAGACACTAGCGTTCAGCTACGCTTGAGCATCAGTTTCAATTGCCGAAATTCTACTTATTCGTCCCCATTGATTATCGATTGCTTTTTCATCTTCAAAAGTACATCTTTTAGTAAGAAAATTGTATAAGAAACATTAGTTTGCACGTTCTAGCTACAGACGCTATTGTTTCCGTCTCTTTCGGTCTAGACGCGAATAATTTACTCTCAGAATTGGTACGGGTTTTGGTCGACGAGACTCGACAAACGCACTTTGTGTCGCCAGCCAGGTGTGAATCTCGTGACTGATTGGCTAACCCGCAGCGGTAATTTAAAAAAAACAATTGGTTTTGTTTGAGTTGCCGAGATTCACTGGCCAGTGCTTTTCCATGGCCGAAACGCGATCTCATCGATTTTTACGCAAATGCTCTGGTTCCGAGTCTTCCGAAGTAGAAATAATTTCATTCTTTTTTAAAAAAGAAGTTGACTAACTTGGTTTTACTTTGGTGCAGTTTCACTGGATTGTGCAACCCCACGGACGTCACGATTCAACTGTGCGCACGGATCTTGAATCAGTCCCACTTACTATGGCGTGTTTTCTACTTAAACCTGGCTAATTAACTCCAGCATAGTCGTACGACTTGACGATTTAGGGCGAAACTGATGCATTTTCACAGAACCAACTACCAGACTCGGCTGTTTTTCGGCAAATTGCCAATGGGCTTGGTTAAGCCCGCATGTTGGCGTTGGAATTCAAACAAAGACCGTCTCCACCGGCTTGCGAGTAGGCAACAAACTGCCCTGGGAGTTCGTCAAGGTCACACGTCAATGACTCATCCACTGACGAGGCCAGCTTGCAATCGGATGCTGGTCCGTGCGAGGGGAGTTGGTGGTGCCTTTGAAGCCCTGATAGTTTGAACCTAAAGGCTTCGTAATTCACAGAAATCGAAACAGCGGTAACGTGGTTAGTTAAAATACTACCGGTAGGACACTGACCCACCCTCAAAGACTGCAAATGTCACTCTGGATGACAACAATTTTGGCAAATTCGGCTGTTATTTTTTTCCCTCATCAAGTGAGACTGACGTTACAAACGGCATTGAGCGTTGGTATTTGCAGAATCCTTTCCGTTCCGTGGTATCTACAAACGCGCAAATATCCCCCCGTGGATTGACCTCGCGGTCTGGTCAAACACACCCTCTTGAAGACTTCGTACAGATCCTATTTGAGTGAATTTACCATTTTTTTGAAACATGGCCTCAACGTTTGCGTAGAACACTTTGAATTAATAAAATTTGATTTGCAAAGGTGAGTACGATTGACCTTCCACAGCCCAATTCAACGACTACCAACACAACCAAAAGGCGCCAACAATGAACTTGAAAAAAGGGAACGACCGTTTATTGGTTAATCAGTGACAGTGTGACCTTCCTGTCGACGATGTCATCGAAATCGATTTTCGATGGAAATACCTTTTGCTCGTATCTGGCGGCATTGTTCGAAAACATGCAACACTAGCCTCAAATTGCGGAGATTTGGACCCTAATGTCACTTTGTGTGTGTATGTGGGCACTTATTTGTGCCATCTGTGCGGGGAGAATTATAACCAGGGCAGCCATTACTCAGGTTTTGTTTTAAACAACATCCATTTTCGAACACCACGCGATTGGTTGAATAGTCACCCCTTGATCGGGGAGCAGATGCCTCGGTGTGACTCACCTCCTTACGCCTTGAATGAAATATGCACTCTCCTTATTTATAGTAACTACTAAATTTTGCGGAGGTCGTACGAGACATCGCTAGCCTCCTCTCTCCTTCCTACAGCCAAAAAAGGCGCTTGCATTAGTCACAGTGAATAAGGGGGGTGATTGGTTGAATGGGGCTGGCAAGTCTGCCAAAATTGGTCCGCCATGTTGCCATGGGGACTGTTTTAATCAATAAAACTTCGCGTCCTGCGACGATTCAAACAAAAACCAGTGCTTCTCATCCTGTTACGGGTAGCCTTACACTTTCAAATTCAGCACAAAAATGTGACCTCGACGTGTGGATCGATTGATTGAAACACCCACGTTTTCCAAGGTCAACACAGGGGGCCACTGTCCCGTGATCGGCTGGTTTGCAAATCTGACAGCTTGCCCATCGCAGACAACGACATGCAGCCGCCCAGCTTCAGCGATTTTCGACAGTACATAATCAGGGCTAGCAGTAACAAGAGCACCTTCCTTCTCCCACCGATCCAATGCCTGCCAGATCCCAAGTACATTCCAGCAAGGCGGGAATTGACACCCAAGGAGTTCATAGTGAAAGCGCTCAAGGGGGTGCAGTGCGACGGCTGTCAGACCCAGCCAGCCAGCATTCGTTCGGCGGTGCTTCAAAGCATGAACAAGGCGATAAAGGATCCGTCGCTACACTTCAACCGGTGCGAGCTGAGCATTCTCTTCAACATCTACTTCCACCTCACGAATCACGAGAATCGGCCGATGGAGCAGCGCGAGTTGGCCGTCTTTCTCTACCTCACCTTCAATATAACGAACACCGCGACCCTGGAGGGGATCTACAGGGCGGCGCTGAAGATCACGCACGGCGGATTCAGCAAACAGGCCGGCGGGTTCGACAGCTACGTCTTCGTGAAGATGTTGTCGGCGTTGCTGCGCGGCTCGATTGAGGAGAGAGCCGTCTGGACGTTCTACATCCTCGACGAGGACGGCGACGACGCCATCTCGCCGAAGCTGGAACTCACGAGATCCCTGCGGCACACATTCGACCCCACCATCGCCGCGTCGGCGCCCGAAATCGATCCGGAGGAGCCCTTCCGTGACACCCTGCGTTACCTCACCGGGAAGATGGGCATGACGCTGACGGGCAGTATGAGTCTGGAGGAGTTTGTGCGCGAGTGCAAGGCCTCGCCGTGGCTCATTGAAGGCATAGCGCCGACACTTCCCTCGGAGATCACCAACTACGCCTTCCAATCCATCATCACACAAACTCCGAGGTTACCGCCAATTGAGAATATCACGCCGCGATGTAACAATGTTAGCAACGAAAAGAAACGCCGAAAGAAGGAATGAAACCTGAGACTTTCCTGCACATCACGTACGTCATTATCTGCATCGTTAGATAGATGCTAATAGCCGAACGCTATTGCTATAGAGTACGTCTCAAAAGCACCAATGCCTTTTGTCTTTTCTCGGGCAAGCAATATTCCCTGCCTACTGGTGATAATTCAGTAACCAGTATTTTTGGCGTCCAAGCGACGGACGGTGCCAAATGACTTGACCCAAGCGGTTGAATCGCTGCTGCCAACATGACACCTGGCGCGTGATTGGTTGTCTTCAAGAGGTGACAAAATCGATCTACGGCGTCTAAAGACTAGGCAGTGTGTGGGGGGTGGGGTGAATTCTGAGATTTTAAACAGCAGAGGTACAATGTGGGCCAAGGGGAGTTTGTTTTTACGCGTAGTGGTTAGCCAGAATAAACAATCTCGTTAATCCGGTGTGATCGATGGTATGCCGTAAAAGGGTGGTTTGGCGCAAGAAAATGGAGCTGACGGATTCACAACAGACGATCACGGAAATAGGCATTAAAAATGGTATTTATAAACAAGAAATTAATAAACACTTGACAAGCCGCAAATCAGATTTGAGACAGAAATAACATCGGGAAGCGCGTGTTGGTTGATGGAAGATTAATAGGAGGAGGGCGTTATATCATGACCCCCTCACAAATGGGCGTCGTTCTATTTGAAGGAGGGGGTGGAGGTGTTCCAGGTGAAACCGAGAGTGACGCAATCACACCGCGTCTTTTCTCCAAGGCGTCATCCATCGTATCAAACAGGCAGGATAGCCGACTCGCCATTTTAGTTTCGAGGTGTTGAAGTTTGTTTCTGACAGCGAAAATCCGTGAAAATTAGCCAAAACTGAGATATGGAGGCGTTATTAGATAGTTTCCCCAAACTTACCGTACGGTTTCCAGTTCAACGTCAACACGCTGTAGCTTCTGCAGGAGTTCGCTCTGTTCAAACTGAAGTTGGATTTGTCGTTGTTGTTCCTCCTCCGCCATTTTAATCCAATCCACGGTGTTCAAATCGGACCGTCCTGAAAATGCTTCAGCAACCTCTAAAATGAGCGCGAATCAACAAATAGAAAAAGAATTTTGAGACAAATACAATCACAAAGAAATGGGAACTACCATTGTCTTCTTGTTGTCTTGAAGGATAGCCGTGAGAATGACCTATATTAGGAACGAGAGCGTTTATACTGACACATTGAAAATCCAGGAAGAGTTTCGGATAGTGAGTAAGTAAAGCAACATACTATAACTGGTTGCAGCGTTGTGAAGGGCATTAGGCGCCTTGGAGGGACTGTGTACTCTTGGCTGATAGTTTGGCGAAATAGGCCGAGATGAAAGACGTCGTAAACCAGTTGGACGAAGAAAAAATTGGAAATTTTCTGGAGAATCGCGTAGTCTAGTTACACAAAAAAATCTGTATTACAGAGTCTACCTAGATTACGCAAATACACAAAGAAAACTACTATTTCAGGGCCCAGCAAGTACGAAATTGCGTCTAATTTAAAGGAAAAGCGACGAAATCCAAGCATTCACTTTCCAGGTAGGAATTCATTCAGACTGCTTTCAAAATTCAACTATCTAATAAGTTCAAATTCTCCAAAATACCTGGAAATAAAAGCGAGAGGTCTTTCAGATGAAGAAAAAATGATTATGTTCTTTCTCCAAGAAGCCACAAGACAGAAGGTCTCCTTCAATTTGAGAGATTCACGAAGAACGTCAACAACGTCTTCAGCAGTTGTTTCTTCGTCAACACCACAGACGTCCTTTGGCTTCCCATTTACTACGACTTTAAGCTCCTTCGTAAGTGGAGCACTCCTATTTGTCATTTGAAAGAACTTTGGAAATGCACACAGAAATTCGCCGGCTTAAACAAAATAGCACTGCTATATTCAATGTAGGAATTCTATTAGAAGTTGAAATTTTGTTAACACTGTTCAACAACTAAATGAAATATATAAAATTGCTAGCCCAAAAACACTTTATCCTATTTCCTCTTAACGTTCGATATTAAGATCATTGATAACATTCACAACCGAAGGTAAGACTTTATGATAAATTTGTATTTCTAAGAATGCAACCTTTAGGTAATGTCATGACTGCTAGCCTGTTGTACATTTGAAATTCACATTTGTGACAGCTTAATTTTGCTTAAGATTAAACCTAAATCTTACCGCTTACACATTATAATCATGCACTGAAACTTTATTCAATAAAAGGGTCAGCTTCTCCTAGAACATTTAGCAAGATATAATATAGATCAAATTGAAAATTAAAGATAGGTATTCAAAAAGTAATATTTATCAACTTTTTCGACGAAATGGACCATGTTGTTCCATTAATTTAAGATTAATGTCTATTCTAGTATTATGCATTGAAAATGAGGCTTCTTAAAAATTTTGAATGTATCCACAAAAATACATTACGGTCAATAATTTTTAAGGAAAATTTCACATTTTTTGAGTTAATGAGTTTTCCAACATAAACATTAATGTAGATGACTCCTATTTGCTGAACTGCAGGCAAATGCTTTATCATATTTCATCCTTATTGATCTTTATGAAGGTCCCGCTGGTTCCCATTACATTTGGATCATAATCCTTGTATTCGCGCAGGTAAGCACGAGCTGAAACCGGCCGTTTTGATTCGTCAACTTTGATTGTGCTAGTTGGGTCGCCATGTTCGTAGAATTCGAGGAAACGCTTCTTATTTTCCTCTAAACAAAACAGGCCGGAATTAAAAAACCAAAATACCTGACAAGTAAGCTTTACCTTTTAAATGAATCAAAACTAAATTTGAAACAGATATCAAATATTTTGTATTTTTACTTAACTCCCTTGTAAAATATCTCGACGAAGAGAGCGACTATTTTTGCTACATGCTTTTATTATTTTTGTGAAACGATTATCAAAATCCCTTATCGACCAAAATTATGAGAAAATTTTGTACGACTTTTGTACAAAATATCTCCGTATAATTTGTACGCACAGTTTCAGAGCAACAGGACTAAGACGTGTTAAGAAATTCCTCAGCTTACTTATTAGTTCTTCAGTAGATTTGCCCTCTGCCCCCATTTCACTTGGTAACAGGGCTTTGAGACCGGGCTCGACTTCGAAGGCTTTGGTGATATCTGAGCCCACTTGTAAAATCTAAAAATTTTAAAATATGACCGCTAACAGTAGTTTAACTAAAAATTATTAATTTTAGGATTTGATATGTATTCAAAATAAGAATTGGCACTGTGTACGGTTGGCACATTAGATGTAACTATAAACGTAATAGCAGAATGACAGCCAAAATTTGTAAAAAAAAGAACACAACTGTGTTTATTGCATTTTCTATAAAATGCATTCCAAATCGACTAACAAATGGCTGCTTCGTAGCTTTATTTAAGCGTTAGCAGAATGGACCAATCGAACAGCGGTTCTTGAGTAATTTTTTCTTCATTACGACAGTTAGTTTAGTTACTTACTCGGCTTCGCATCTTCTCGTTCATGTAAAATGCGAAAATTGTCAAAGCGGCATCTACAAGTTTACCCTCTTTGTAGTAGATCACACGTTTTACCCTTCCAGGCAACGCTTCCTACAACCAAGCAGCAAATCATGCATTAATTCTTTTGAGACATTTAAAGTCGATTTAGATGAACTGTATATTTGCTAAATTGTCTGGATAATCTTACCTGGGTGTAACGGACCATTGTGCGAATGACAACAGGATCCTTGACAACTTGATTGGATTTGACGTCACTAAAGTCAAGGAGAAGCACTAATCCACCAATGATAGTGCGTGGATCGTTGGCCAGCATGAAGGAAAGCTTATAGCCAAAATAACAGACCCAAGAAAAGTCAAACTCGTCGGGATTCCACGCTCCTATATTGTGCAAATTTTGAATCAATTAAATCAAGCAGCATTACCTATACGCAGGCATAATACTAATTTTCCGTCCTCAGTGTATCCAATTGGTAGATGAATTCTGAAATAGACAAGTTGCATGTCGACATCTAGCGCGATGATAGATGAGCAACCAGTCATTACTGGTGCAGGTTGCCAACAGCTACGCGCCACGCGCCCAATTCACACCTACCCTCTGTCCAAGTAACTCCTCAACGCCTTGGATTTCAAGTCGACGGGAGTTGCCCAGATCTCCTCACCAACGCACTTCATTGTAGAGAGGGTGCAGAAGTTGTCGATTCTTGCTTGGGCCTTTGAATGCACATACTTGCAATGACGCAGAAACATCAGCAAGAAGTTGTCGTCTGCATTAAAATGTAAAAAAATGCCGTTTGGAGCTGGTTTAAATAAATTTTTGAGGGATCTTTAAGAGCTTGCCAATGTCGAAATTTTGGATTGGTTGATTTCACATACCATCGGGACAAGTGAGGTGAGGCATCGACGACAGCCATCTACGGAAGGCTTCGATGTGGGCTGAAATATTCTTTGGATCCTCACCAAGCTCCGACTTTGCCAACTTCACGAATTTCGATGGCAATTTCTGCGAGGCAGCCATGTTTACAGCGGAGTTGTAAGAGAAGCTAGCATAACCACAACAGCCTTGTTTTATATAGCCCTTACACCAAGTGCTTTCTCATTGGCTGTACCTATGATTTTTTGGTTGATCACGCGTTTGCACTTAACTGAACTCGTGGTGTTTCAGAAGCACACAAACCCAATAAATTGCCAAATAACCCTAGCAATTTCTTAATTAGGTGACACCTTCTACTAATTTGTTGACAAGAACCAAGAGGAAGGAAAACAGAGCATACTGGCAATCGCAAATGATGAAATCAAACCGTATTTAAAAGTACCCAGTTTGTAGCCACTAATCACGTCTGTCGTAGTTCAAACAATTGTTTGTTGGCGTCATCGGTGATTGTACGCGAATCATAAATTGGCATTCTCGTAACACAGCCGATCGACGCCTAACTCGGCATCATTCCATGAGTCAAGTACCAGCCCAGATTAGATACTTGGCCATATTCTATCCTTTCTTTTCAACCTGGCATTCAGCACTTCAATTGGATAAATTTGATTGGTTTATACAGTGGTCCCTTTTTGCAGTCGATAAATTCTGATTCGCGATGCACAGGGCGTATCGAACACTCACCGTCAACAGTTTTAGCCACGCACAAGGGCGCAGACATATTGGACTCGGATGTACGACGCCTGATGATTAATCAATAAAGTCTGTTTTGTTGTACTAGGCTCCTTCATGCTACACAGCTTAGGGATGTAACACGCCTACCGGGCGGGGACCTAAATAGGGATATGATTGTTAGCCCGTCCCTCTTAGATATCCACACCATCATGGTTAGCTGCCAGGCACACGATAGAAGAATAGCTGGAAGAACCGGATGTATTCCATACGACCGCATAAAAACTCAGAGGGCTAGAGCTTAGGGGAGTTGTAGTGGGGAAAGGAATGGCCGCGAGGAGGGTTTGTGTTGCCCTCGGATTCACGGGCGTGCCTTGAGGAAGGCGGGAGTGCGGGAAGGGAGAGGAGAACAAAGAACAGGCCAGACCGGCGTGCGTGGGTCAAATGTTCAGAATGTGGTGAATATTCAAGCGACCTTCAAGTCGGGCCGGAGAATCAGTAAAACAAGAAACCCGTGGTGCGATTGTTTTAAAATTTGTTCTTAATCAACACTTTAACTTCTCCCAAATTTTTCACGCCCGTAAGAAAGATTGCAGGGTCACACAGTGAGACTGTTTATTCAAACAAATTCAGCGGAGTTTGAAAAAATTTCTCAGTTATTGGACCAAAAGTTGTCATGGTGCAGAGAGGACGAGGTGGTGTGAATTTGGCCAATCAGATTTCGTCCTGGTTGATCTTGATGAAGGTACCGCTGGTTCCCATGACGTTCGGGTCGTAGTCCTTGTATTCGTGCAGGTAGGCTCGTGCTGAAACCGGTCGTTTGGTCTCGTCAACCTTGATTTTGCTCGTCGGATCACCTTTTCCATAGAACTCGTAAAAGTTCTTCTTGTTTTCTTCTTAATTCAAATTCACAACAAAATCAGAAATGCCACAACTCCTCTAAGCAATCCTAGCCAATAACAACAAGGCAACCAAGGCAACCAATCAAATAAAGCCAAACTATTGGCTAGAAGAGCCACTTAATACCGTTTTAATCGATATGAATATGGCGCCATTTCTGTGAGCAATCTTAGTCACTAAGAACAGAGTTGCAAACGTAGCCGATTAGTTAATGCTGAATTAAAGGAACAGCCGTTCCACGCTTTTCACCACTCTTGGCCAATAAGAATACAGCAGGTGAACTGACCAATCAGATAAAGCAGGAGTATTGACTAGCTTTTCCTCTTCTTGAAACACAAAACATGTTTGGTGATACAAGCTGTGGTTATCTTAAAGTGACGAAAGGAAGCACCAGGAGTTTAATAAGCAAATTTACGAATCCTATAAACCAAACGTTTTCCTAAAGCAAGCTAACACTTCAAACGACCCTGAAAATGGGCTTAAAAGGAATTCGCTGATTGTACAACACCCTGACTCACTTATGACTTCTTCCAAGGGTCTGCCTTCACCGCCAACATCAGGTGGCATCAGGGCCTTAATACCTGGTTCAGCTTCGAAAGCCTTGTTCATATCCGTGCCCACTTGAATAATCTGCCAATGAGAAGGATTTACCAGAAATCGACGCCAATCTCTCTCCGTTTAAGAAGTGTTCAAGTTCGAATGTAATTTAAAAACATTTGGGATTTAATTACTTCAATTTGTTAACGATTGTCGCTAGTACACCGCCTACAGACAACCAGCTCAAATGTCGCGTCTTTGAGCAACGTGCTTGATGCGGTAAGGAAACCCTCAGATAACCCATCCTTCTGTCATTTCTTTGTGAAATTAAATTAACCTGCTAACCCGCTAGCCTACGAGACGCTGATCTCTCTCTATCAAAGTGTTTATGAGTGCACATCTTTTCACAATGTGATTAGGAGTCCTGAGGCAAGCCAGACATCCACTTGACTCACGCGATTTTTCATTTTTTCTTTCATGTAAAACTTGAATATCGCGATCGTGGTGTCTAGAAGCTTTCCTTCGTTGTAGTAGACGAATCTCTTGATGCGTGCAGGCATGGCCTCCTACAACAAATCGCGAAATCATTTGTGAATTCCGTCAAAATTGTTTCTGGTGCTAGACTGGAATTGCCTCGAGTCTCCCAAAACCTTACCTGATTGAATCGAACCACAGTCCTAATGGTGTTGGGATCCCTCATAATCTGCTTTGTCGTCATGTCGCTAAAGTTAAGTATGAAGATAGTGCCACCAATGAGCGTCCGAGGATCAATAGTGACCATGAAGACGACCTTGTAGACGTAGTAAAACAACTGGGAAAATGATATTTCGTCTGGATTCCATGCACCTAAATATTGTGTGAGTGAGCGAATGCTAAAATGCACCAAGACTTACCTAGGCGGATGTAAAAAACAAGCTTCCCATCTTCCGCATATCCGAGAGGCAGATGCACCCTAATATCAGATATTTTAGCCATCACTGTTGCCCCATTATCGATTAGAGAACAGAAATGGGTTGCGCGTTGCATCAACTTACCCCCAATCTAGGTACTTCTTGAGATCCTTCGATTCTAGATCCACAGGTGTGGATAAAACCGTATCTCCGATGATCTTCGTTGTTGAGAGAGTGCAGAAATTGTCGATTCTAGCCTGAGCCTTCGCGTGAACGTACTTACTATGACGCAGAAACATCAGCAGGAAGTCGTCATCTGTGATTTAAAAAAAAACTTTTTATGACTAGTGTGAGTTCTGGTTAGTCCACCATCTGGCATTATTTTTCAGAAAACAAAACAACATGTAACCCATAATTTTGGGCACATCTAAATTGTTAATTAATTAATAATCGTCGTGAATTTAAAAAAATTAAGTTTTTATGTAGAAATTATTGAACCAGTTAACTGAACCAGTTGAAAATCGATACTTGTTCACGAAATAGTTAAGCGAACAGCCAATCATTGATTTGCCTTGTGGATTGGAAGTGGTCACGATTCGAGTGCGTTAAATAAATTGCTGGTGTCGGATTGGTTGATTTCACATACCATCGGGACAAGTGAGGTGAGGCATCGACGAAAGCCATCTACGGAAGGCTTCGAGGTGAGCTGGAATATTCTTTGGATCCTCACCAAGCTCCGACTTTGCCAACTTCAGGAATTTCGATGACAATTTCTGCGATGTCGCCATTTTTTTCAATTAAATTGGCTGGAGACCACTTCACAATTTGGCAACAGAGGTTTATATACCGTTCTCAATTCCTACGTTTGGGCCAATCAGGTTTTTACATTTTCGCGCCTGCCTTCTGATTTATCGACAGGGCTCTCAAGTGCTCACTACGTCGACGTCTCACAGACACTTGACTGGCAACATCGATCAACTGACAAATTTACGCCTTTTTGAAGTTGTTTGTGTTTGATTTGGCAAAGCGCGCTAACGGAGCATCCAGTCCTCAGTTATGGGGATTTTGTGAAATTTGGAGTACATTTCATCACGTCGGGATCACCAGTTATTGTGGCCCTAGCATGTGGTTTTGAACCACGCCAGGGCCACGGAATTAACCCTGGCCCGATCACGCTTCCCTGATACCCGCGATGAAGAAATAGACAGGCGAGGACGTGGACACAACCGCCCACTTCAGAGCTCAACCACGTTGGTGTCGTTGCGTCGTGTGTGGGGTTTGCGTGTGTGCATTTATGCCTCGAATGCAAGCGAACATCGAGACCTGGGTGTGAGGCTGATCCAGGATAAATATCCGTGTGAATGAGGGGGAGTTGAGGATCCGCCCGGCTGACAAAAGAGGCTGGGGTGATCGAATTAACGAGTGCGACTCAATGTGATTCACAGCAGGATTCAATTGGTTATCTATACAATTCAATATTAAAAACATCACATGCGCGATGTAAATCAACGCACGTTAATGTTATCGGTAGCATTTGGAAGTAGTCGAGGTACAAATTCAGCAAAGGATAGGATTTTAATGTAAACTGGATGACCACGTGTCAATATCTGGTGACTGCCAACATGTGTTGGCAGAACTGTAATGTGTACGTAATGTATTTGAGTAGACAGGAATGCTTTGTTTAATTATAAACGAGGCTTTCGTGAAAAAGGGCATTAAAAGAATGACTCCCATAAATTACCCATGTCTAATTAAACAATGTCGATTTCTGGAAACTTTAACCAGCCCTGTGAATGGCAGAGTTATCCAAAACAGCATATTATTATCTCCAAAGGTTCTCCATCAAACATACCACAAACCTAACAGAACGTGATTAGGCAAACTTGTTCGAAATACCGCACTGTACGCGAACCAGCTCATTAAAACAAAGGAATAGCATGGTTAACGTGTGCGCATGTGGGTCAGCCGCGAAATCCCTAGATCGTCCATCAGTGTGTTCAAATTAACCCCTGCTGTTTACTTCCACACACTCTACACCGCCTTGATTTTGCACTGCCATACCATCGTGATCTCACATATAACCGTCGAAATGTCCGTGATATGTAACTGTAAGTCGACAAACCGTGATCCGATATTGGCTCTTAGATGACACCTAAGAGTTTGGATGAAGTCTGGATGAAATTGTGCGATCAAGCTTGGGAATTATTGCAACAATTGCAGCCATTTGTGTTTGGTATGACCACTTGAACTATCTTCACCATAGAAATCCCCTTCGACCAATCAGCAGTTAGAAGACTGCTGTAAATCGAATCTGCTCGACCTATCAGATACACGAGAAAAGCATCAATTAGTGCGCGTCATTACACTTATTCAAAAAAGTCAACACTGTTGAAAAAAATAACCCAATGAATGGACCCAAAGTTGTCATGGTGCAGAGAGGGCGAGGCGGCGCAAAGTTGACCAATCAGATTTCGTCCTGGTTAATCTTGATGAAGGTGCCGCTGGTTCCCATGACGTTCGGATCGTAGTCCTTGTATTCGCGCAGGTAGGCTCGTGCTGAGACCGGTCGTTTGGACTCATCAACCTTGATTTGGCTTGTCGGATCACCTTGTCCGTAGAACTCGTAGAAGTGCCTCCTGTTGTCCTCTTAAAACAAATCCACAACAATTTAAACGGTGCAATATCAAGATGACTAACCTCCTCCATGCAACTTTAGCAAACAGTAGCATAAATGACCAATAAGATTTAGCCAAACTATTGACTAGATGAGCTACGTTGTGTCGTTTTAATCAACATAACAAGGGCATTCCTCCTGGCAACAATCGCAACCAATTAGATTACAGTAGGAAACGTAAACTAATGCAACTTTGTTTATCAGGTTGAAAATGTGGTCACACCTTTCATTAACTTCGACCAATAAGAGCTCAGTAGGTAAACTAACCAATCAGATAAAGCACAAGTATTGATTAAATGTCCGTGATGTTGAAAAAGCACAATATTTTCGTAAGTATAATATAAACTCTTATTAAAAAACACCAAACGTTTACACCTAGTAGCAAGCTCGTGTCTTATGTCCGTGTAGATCGTAAATCGGCAATGTCAGGTATACGGAATTTAACCACTCAGCCATCTTGACCAATAGCAGCGCAGCTGTAAAAACGACCAGACGGCAGATAATGCCGAAATATTATCTAAAATGAGCCTCTTTTTGTCTACTTGACCACAACGCAAGTGTGTCGTGAAGTAATGAATGAAAAACTTCGTTTTTTCTAACTGTATACGCCGCCGTTGCAGCTCGCAGTCTCAGCTAATTAAAACGCGATTGCCTAATTGACCAATCAGCGATGTCATTGGATAGTAACAGCTTTGACTTATGCAGGCGTAATTAGCTAAAAGTGCGCTTTGTTGTCGGTGGAATCTTAAAGTTAGTTGAAGAAATCCGATGAGAGAGAATTGCAAAGGGGTGTCGTGTGCGGCACCATGCAGAGACGTACTGATAAGTTCAGCCAATGATTTTCCATCACCACCGTATTCAGGCGGTAAGATGGCTTTAAGGCCAGGTTCTACTTCGAAAGCCTGAGAGATGTCTGAGCCAATGTGCTGCAACTGAAATAAAAACCACGACTGGCATCGAGGTTATTTTCCAACTACTACTTAAAACCAAGGCCCCATTACTTACGCGCTTTTTCACTTTATCCTTCATGTAGAACAAAAATATTGACAGAGCAGATCCGATAATTTTGCTTTCGTTGTAGAAAAATACTCGTTTAACTCTTCCGGGTATGGATTCCTACAATAATTATAAAGCTCAAACAGAAATAACCAGAGATAGCCTAACTTCATGTTGTGAACAGCCAGGTTGTCCAAACAGTCATACTTCAAGCTGATTGGTCATTGTGAATTAGGCCTAACTTTCGTTGGTTTGAAATTAGACTCTAATTTGAGGCTTTAGTCGATACTAAAACTCACAGTTTGGGGTGTTGGAGCAAATTTAAAATGATTTTAATGGACCCAAAAAATTGCTAGCACGTTAATTGCTTTTGGGGTTCCTAACATAGCTTGCTAAATCCTACCTGGGAAAAGAGAACCAATGCTCGAATGACGTTGGGATCTTTGAGAATCTGATTGGGCGTAACGTTGGCAAGGTTGATTATAATGACTGAGCCACCAATGATAGTGCGAGGGTCAAAGGCCACCATGAACATGACCTTGTAGGCGTAGTAAAACAGTCTTGGAAAGGCGAATTCATCCGGATTCCATTCGCCTATATAAAGTGAGGTTTCAAACGCTGACAAAACGCACAATTTTTACCTGGACGCAGACAAATAACCATCTTTCCATCTTCTGTGTATCCAATCGGAAGATGGATCCTAAAAATGCGATAAAAGAGGATAACCAGATTTCGCGAACCAGTGATCTGCGTGAGCGCTATGCCGCTGTTCACATGGACTCAAAACACACATCAAGTTAGTGTGGTGTAAGGTGTGTACTCTGATACGAATCCCCATTACTTGAATCAACCAGTTGCATCACATAGCCATGATTGCTGGATGCGGAAAAGGCGGTCGTAAAAAGAATAGCGAGAGATCTGTCATCAATGTTAAAACGATTCTCCCATTGGCTGTGCTTAAAATACGGTGTTGACAATGCTCCACGTCAACCTACCCTTTGTCTAGGTAGCGTCTGAGTTCTTTTGACTCGAGATCCACGGGCGTGGCCCAGATCTCCTCGCCGATGCACTTCATCGTGGAGAGGGTGCAGAAGTTGTCGAGTCTGGCCTGCGCCTTCGCATGCGAGTACTTGCAATGACGCAGGAACATGATCAGAAATTGGTCGTCTGAAAGGAGACACCACGTTTGACTGGCCTCACTTCTCTGTCATCTCGCATTTTAGCTAGTTGGTTACTAGATTGCATGATTTGGTTAAAAATATTTTGAGCAAACTAGAAATGTTGCAGTTTGGATGGATCATGAATTGGTTGGATGGAGAAGACCAAGGGAGATTCTGATACTGCTTGTGGGTGAAGCCAGCGAACAACCAATCATTGAGCTCGCATCTGGACGAGTGTTGAGGTGATTTGATTGGTTGTCGAATACACCAGAAGGCAGGACCATCATGTTACGACAGTCTTTTCCTCATGGCATCGTGATTACTCACCGAAGACAACTTCCACCACATGGATTACAAGTAATTTATACTATCCAACAAGAAAACAGCTCAGGATGTCACATGACAGAAGTATAAAGAAGGTGCCAACCAGTTAACTTGAAATCAAATTTGCACAGTGGAATTGATTGCCCTACTTCTAATGAGTAGCATAGCAGAGAGGCATGGAGATGTGGTTAGCCTGTACGCCATTATGGCGCGTTAATCTGTCTTACTTTCATTTCAAAGGCAGTCTGCCACAGCGGTTGTAAGCGTCACATTCAGGGAAACAAATAACGAGTCTCAAAGAAGCCTTTTAAGCTACATTAGTTACTTGAAAAAAGTTGACGGGAATGTTTGGTTTGCTAAATTGACTAACCGTCAGGACAAGTGAGGTGAGGCATCGACGACAGCCACCTGCGGAAGGCTTCGAGGTGGGCTGGGACATTCTTGGGCTCCTCACCAAGCTCCGACTTGGCGATTCTCGCATACTTTGACGGCAGCTTCTGCGAGGCAGCCATGTTTCCAAGTGAGCCGAGCTATTCGCGCAGTGCAAAACCTACGCTGTGTGGGTTCTCGTAGGCTGCACAGCTTAACCAATCACGTGCTTGCTTGCTCACGCTTTTTTCTTCACTCATAGAGTGCAAAGTTGTTTGGAAGTACTTGATATCTTGCACAACTGGGTGGTAATTGTTGTAACCCTCAAAGAGTACGCATCATTAGCATTAAGACCACACTCTTGAAGGTGCGTTCGAAATTTTCCACATTGCGCAGTTGTGTGGAGTTGATTGTATGTGCCTTGGAGAGCTAATTGTCATTTTTTGCTGCTTCCTATCAACATTAAGCGAGTAGAGGGCATCAGAGGCAGTTGTAGAACCCATTGTGGCATGTAGGAAGCGTTACAACATCGACATTCAACGAAACAAGCTATGAGATCCTTAAAATATTAAAAGCTGAGCCTCTGTTCCTACAAACGCCGCTGTAGGATTCCATCACGGATGCATTTCAACGTGGAGAAGTTGTCGAGTCTAGTTTGTGAGTATTTGAAATGACCCGGTGTTCATCATCAGACAGGAGA